TGAACCGGACGGCGAACCGGTGCGTGCTTTTTGCGGCGAACTCTACGATCGTCACCGACCGGGGTGTTGACATCTACACGATAAGCTTTCCGGAGACAATCTTCGAGTTTGATTCCATTAAGAAGTTCACGCAATCCCAGGCGGTTTTCTTGGAGGCCACGCTCGTCTTGGTTCTGTCGTGGCTTCTTTACTGCTTTTCGCTGAGGTTTATGAAACTGGGCAATGATGGAAGAAGCATTTGGTTTAGGCTCAGATGGTGGATTAGCAGATTGGACATTTGTTTCGCCACTAGGCATTGGCTGGTCAGTTTTCTATCTTTGTTAATTGGGTATGGCTTAGTTCAATATTGTAGTGCTAAGTTTTACTCTTATAGCAAAAGAAGTAAAAACAAAGTGCATTGGTGTTTGTTCAAAGTACTTTGAACACGTTTTCTAAATACACTACTTGCATTGTATTATGTATCGAGGACTTTTGGTGCTTCCAAACGCAATACCAAACTGGCCCTGTCTGTTGTTTAATTAGCTATGTTTATTGGTGTAGGAAGATCAGAAGGTGGTTAAGAAGAGAAAAACAGAACTTGGTGGAACTTTCTCAATAGCAAGTTGGATACTCTTCATTGGTTTATTTGCTGCGTGAGTGTTTGACATTATTGTTATTGTTATCAAATCATCCGAAATTGTTGGTTACATTTAACTTTTGATTGCTCTGCGTACTTTTCATCGTAGTGACTTGGATTTTCAGTTTCCTCTCAGATTGTTATACCAAATCATATCTAGGAGATCCATTGAGGTGCATAATGTGAGAGCAACAAATGCGCCTGACTTGGCATCTTTCATCAATGACATGGAGTTTAATATCACCGCTATTTCTAGTATGAGCTGCTCGAACTTGCGAAATCTCAGTAGTTTAGTTATTGGAAGTCCCGGGTTTATCGACTACAGAGTTGCTCCTTTATCAAATTTCGGGAATTACTCGTGCCAAAATACTAGTGAAGGACCTACTGTTATACTTAGATGCAACGGTTGTCAACCAATTCGAGACGATTTGTACATTTCCTGGCAATTTGTTGATCTTCCCAACAGCCCTGCAGCTGCTGTTGGATTTCAGTTCAACCTTACCACTAGGAATCATTACAACAAGAAACATATGAGTTATGTTAGTGGAATACTAAAGAATTGGACTTCTTTTGATAACAGACCAGTTACCTTCAGAGGAAGGAATACAAACATATTGAAATTCAGTTTATTTCCGCGAATTTACCGTAATCTAAAGGACCTAAGGCTCATCCAACCTCTATTTCATGAGTTTGTCCCTGGGTCTCATTTTTACGACACACAACAGCTCCAAACATCCTTGGCTAGCTCAAATGATGGACTGCTCAACACCACGGTATACGTCAATTTTCTTTCTGCCTACATTGTAGAGATAGATGCTCAAAATATTATGGGTCCTGGTAAGTAATATGATGTGCCCACTTATGTGAGCTCTCCTTTC